TATGTTGCCATCATGCGGTAACCCATTACTTCTTTTTGAAACAACAAAAAAGTATAAATTTTGTTTGGGCGCGCATCAAAATTCGCGCGGTGAACAGATAGAAGACCTAGGCAGGGTAAACGTAATATTTGATTTTTGAACGTTTCATTAGTTTTTTCCAATGACAAGATATTGTTATTTAATGCTTCGTTGGGAAGCAGGGAAAAGTACGCGAAAGTGCGGAAACCTTAAAGGTCCATACAGACCGGACGCGATTTGGCAACGCGACGCGAATTTTCAGTTTTCATTGACATTTAACTTTAATATTTTTCAATGTTTTTCAAATATTCGGAACCACTTAAGCAATTTTAGCTATTTTGTCTGCATATCTTGTAAAATTTTTATCCGTTGACGGTTTTATATGTTATTGAAAACTGAAATTTGCGTCGCGTTGCCGAATCGCGTCCGGTCTGTGTGGGCCTTTATAGGTCGGGAATCTTCGGATTGCGATGGAAAATCGCGAATTTTCCTATCAAAAATACCTTGACTAGCGAACGAAAAAAGGTTCAATACATTTTTGCGAAAACGAATTTATATTTTTCGGCGAATCTGCTGTTCACCAGGTACGGCCAGAAAGAACTCAGAAACTTGTTGTTTTAAAAATATTTTTAAAAGAATTTTTCGAATGCGCCTAAAATTATTGCGCCCACAACAACACGAAATAAGAATTATCGAAACAACGTTTTGAAATTATTGTTGTTGTTATGGTCATTTGTACCGTTCCGAGTGCAATTTGAACTCCCAATATGCAACATGCACAAGTGAGTTTTTCAAAGATGATCGATATTGCATGAGTCTGAAGTACGAGTGCGATTTGAAGACTTTGAAAAACTCACGAGTGTATATTTTTCCAAATTGCACGAGAAACCATACTATTACTTATTAGTATAATTACATGGGTGATTATTGAAAATTTTCCACGCTGATTGGTTGCCGATGACTCCGATGAGGTGATTATTACGCGATAATCACCTAAGCGATTTTCAAAATGGCGGCCGAAGCCTTTTTGACAATTAAATGACGAAAAAATGTGTATTTTCTTATTTTTCCCAAATAATCACCTATGAAATTATACTAAAACAATTATTCACCTCAGGCTCGGTGATTATCGTGAATAAAACCTCGACTTCGCCTCTGTTTTTATTCACCGATAATCACCTCGCCTTCGGCGAATAATTGTTAATTATTATTATATGGCAAGCATCATTTCCGGTAAGATGGCGGACTGTGATTGGCCATCATTTTTCCGTAATGGACCGGCGATCCATTACGTAAAAACAAACGCATGGATTTTAAAACAAAACAGCAAAACTAATTGAAAATGTGAAATTATAATATAATTTGTTATTAATAAGATATCTGCGAATGGTTTTTTTGTGGAAAAGAAGGAATTAATATGCATTTCACGCTACTAATATGCATTTCAAATCAGGACTTTCTTGGGGGGTTTTCAAGTATAAATGCCATATAATAAACTTTTTATTAACCTTGCTTGCTCGGTATGCATAGAGAAATATCGGATCTCGGTCTTTTTGTAAAAAACTCGTCCTGCGGGCTCGGTCTGTACAAAAAAGACCTGGGTGTGTTATTTCTCTGTACAGACCTCACGTTCGGTTGATAAGAATTTAATAATATGCATGAAAAAATTATACAGAAGCAAATTCATGGTCACTTCCAGGCACAAAACACATTTTTGATGGAATCATTTTTGATTTTGTCTTACCTTGAAAACTTGCGTTTTACTCTCGTCTGGACGATGTTGTAGGATCTGTCGGTTGTAGGTCTTCATCTGCTGGTCGTTCCATTTTGCGCACTCTCGTTGGATTCCTCTTCACACCATATAACAACCTTTTGAAAATGAAAGGACGCTCCATTAGTAACAAAATAGATTGAATATTTCACCTCACTTGTTATAGGAAACATTTACTTAATATACTTTTAAAGATAGGAATGCTAAAATGTCTTTAAAGGGTATGAGCAACAAAAAATTTTATTGCTTCATCTGAAAGAGCATGAAAAAAAAAGCCGATTGGCTGTTTAATGCTCTATTCTATCTCATCTAGTTCCGAAGTTATACGCAAAAATGTGTAAAATATAAATTGCTCATTCAGCACAACGTGTGACGTCATTGGTAGGGTAAGTATGTTTAATGAATACTAAACTGAAGCATAGCTCAGTTATTATGGGACCAAATCAAATGAAATTTTGGATACTGATTGTACATGATGAGACGCATTGAAAAACACTTCTAATTTTGTTGCCAAGGTAACAATGTCGTTCCCAGGCCCCTTGCGATAATTTTATAAAACAGCTTTATTCATGACACTTATAAGAATAAAATAATATCAGAAGTATGTGTACCATACCTATGCATGCCAAAAGTTTACTTGCATGATAATAATTCGAAAATGACATACACATAGATAAATGCAGCTGGTTATTCAAAATCAGTGTAAGGGGCCTGCCGGCCTGGGAACGACTGTGTTGCCTTGACAACAAAATTAGAAGTATTTTCCCATGGGTCTCATCATGCACTATCTGTATGCAAAATTTCATTTGATTTGAGCCAATAAAAACTGAGTTTACTATTCAGTAAACATACTTACCCAACTAATGACGTCACACGTTGTGCTGAATCAGCAATTTATACATTGCACATTTTTGCGTATAACTTCGGAAACAGATGAGATAGAATAGAGCATTAAACGGCCAATCGGCTTATTTTTTCATGCTCTTTCAGATGAAACAATACATTTTTTGTTGCTCATACCCTTTAGTTTTTAGTACATAAAAGTCAGGGTGTAGCATATCGCACAGAACTCAAGTGGCGGACACCAGGAGTCACCCCCTACCCCCTCAATAATTTCTGAAAGCCTTCGAAT